GCTGCCTTTCCCAGATCTTTTTCTTCGTGACATGTGCTGGCACTGAATGCGTCTTACTGGCTGCCATGGCATATGATCGCTATGTAGCCATTTGCCGCCCTCTTCAATATCCAGTGCTCATGAGTGTGAAGGTCTGTGTTTGCCTGGTGACTGGGTCCTGGCTATGTGGGCTGGTGAATTCTGCGACACACACAGTGCTGACAGCCACACTCACCCTGTGTGGGCCCAATGAGATCAGCCACTTTCTCTGTGACATCCCATTGCTCCTGAAGCTATCCTGCTCAGACACTTCTGTCAATGAGTCTGTGCTCCATGTGGCCAGTGCCACCATTGGCCTGAGCCCCTGCCTCTTTACTGCCGGGTCCTACATACTCATCATCTCAGCCATCCTTAGGATCCCTTCTGCTCAAGGCAGGAGCAAGGCCTTCTCCACCTGCGCATCCCACCTGACCGTGGTGGTGGTCTACTATAGAACAGCCAACATCAACTATGACAAGCCCAGTGAAGGCTACTCTTTGGACATGGACATCCTGGTCTCTGTTCTCTTCTGTGTGGTGACCCCCATGTTGAACCCCATCATTTACAGCCTGAGAAACAAGGAGGTCAAGGGTGCCCTAAAGAAGCTGAGTAGAGTGTTTGTACTCCCTGACAATATCAATGTCTAGAATAGTAGTCTTCAAACTGGAGTATATATCCACCTGAGAAACTTTCCAAGAAAATTGCAATCCAGATAGCGTTAGAGCATGTATCTCTACCTGGATTCTCATTTCCTACATACTAGTTCCTGAAATTGTTCCTCCCAAGAACTCTTTGCTCCTCCTTTTTCACATTGCCCTTCCTCATGTGGTAGTATGTTTCTGATTTTGTGCTGGTTTTCAACATCATCTCTATCCTTCTACATTCTCCCCACATTATAGGGAGAGAAAGTGCAGCAATATTTTTTCTCAGATCTCCTTTCCAGCAGACTTCCAATTTCGATTTTACCAATAAGAGTCATATGTGAGATATTAGATGAAACTTGGAATCATGACAAATCTGTTTTTCAGTCAGAGAAGAAAGAAAAATAAGTAAGTGTTTCCTGGGTCTCATAGCAGCAGGACCAGCAGACTAGAGCTGCAGTGAGAGAAGTAGATTCCTGGGGTGATATCAACTGATGCATGCAGTCTCACATAGTAGCTCTTCCTGATCCAGACATAATGTCACGGAAGTAGTAAATGAGTATTTATGGTGACATTGGCTGATTCCATGTAGAAAATTGTGTTCATCTTTTTTTTCCCTTTCTCCCTCTTCTAGCCTTCCCAACAACTTTGTAATTTATTTCTGGCATTGAATTCCTCTATGTTGTAATACCCAGCTTTTAAAAATTTCTACTTTGAATGCTAACAAATACATCATTTTACATCAAGAGTTGTTCTAGGAAACAGATCCTCCAAAGTGGGACTGGATATCTTGATACAATGTGTTGAAATGTGTTAGTGACATCCTATATGATGAAGACAGGAATCTGATAGTCCATGGTGCACAATTACAAAACAAATGCTTGAAAGTATCAGTAGTCATTGCACGAAATAAAACGTCCATTGACAATCAAGCTTTGGAGTACCTTAAACCTTTGTGGTGGGAATGAGCATTACTGCATAGTTAACATAGGGCTGTTGCTGACTGTAGTTCAAAGCTTCTAGGAAGAAAGTGATTGTCTTAGTTTAGCTCTCAATTCCTCACTCAAATCAAGGTGAGATAATGAGAAAATATTTTGTCTCTTGAAACAGATAAAGGTGAATATTGGAACAAAAAATCTGATTCTCTGAATTGCAGAATTACCAAGTGAACTATAAATCCACAATTTCTCCAGGTCTCTTATGTGTCAATTAGGGCATTAGCTGGGGAATGGGTGGAAACTTGTTAATTAAAATGGAAAAATATCAATGGATTTGGACAAATCTTAGAGCCTTAAATCTTCAAATCTCCATTAACCTTTCTTACCATGGAAAGCAGCCCCACCTCTCCTATCTGAGGAGACCAGCTTTCCTTAAATTAAAGACCCTGTGATGACCCCACCTGAGGCAATATTTTTGTAAATAAGGCTAATCCTCTTAAAATCCTCATTACTGCCAGACTCTTAATTGGGGTCCAATCCCAGAATAATAGTTCAAAGTATAGCCCACAAGATTATAACATTTAAACCAAAATAAAATATCAAGATTTTACCAATTTTTCTTGAAAGAAGCCACGAGAATATTTATAATAATGGACTCTTAGGATGCTAGACCAAAGAGGACAAGACATATTGTTAAATCATCTTGAATATATTCTTATGGGTGTACTTTTCAGAAATATTGGTTCAATGTGTTATACTGAGAAGCTCAGAGTGTCTCTAACAGTTTTGTTGTTATTGTTTTGTTTTTGTTTGTTTTGATTGGTTGGTTGAAACCTAGATTCAAGGTTCAAAAGACTCAATAAAGATGAGATGCCTGAAATATCTCTGGAATAATATAGAGGAGGAAATCAAAAGGTTTAGGGAAACAAGCATGTTAGAATGAGTACATTTTATGTGATCCTCTTACACTAGTTCCCAAATTTAAGTACTCAAAGAGAGACCAGAGCACAATCCCCTACAAAAGCCTCTTGCCTGTGATAAAAGAAGCACCAGAGTCCTTGTAACACTTGTAGTGGCTATCCTCTGAAGCCTAGAATGGCACTGGGAACTGTCATCACAGAAATAGGCTCTGTGATTTCAGTCAATGGTGAGATTCTGAAGTAGTAGAGGTCATTTGGTTGAGCAGTAATCAGAATATTTAATCTACAGAAATCTTTGACAATGGTTAAAAGATTATGGTAACTGGAGACCTGAAATAATGGCCACCTTATTAAAATATTACCTGATATATATTCATATATAATTTCATATAATATATTTATATTTATATAATTTTTTACTTTATTTTGTCATGGTGCTAGGGATCAAATCCAGGACCTTAAACATGCTAGGAACGTGTTCTACCATTGAGCTACATCCCCCAAGTCCTGAAAAATTCTTAAGTCTGGTCATTATAATCACAACTTAAATCATTATAAGAAAGAGCCACCTTCATCCAGTTCTTAGACCTTCTGAACTCATCAGCTCCATGAGGTTTGAAGGCTGTGTGACACCTAGGATGGCATAAAAACCCTCTGAATCCCCAGTAGAAGAATCATAGTGCTAATCTACTAGAATTTACAGCAAAGCCCTGTCTTCTCTTCTTCAAATAACTCTTCTCCTTTTGAGAAATAACTACTGACTGCCACTAGGCTTCAAAAGATACTGAATACTTACTTGCTCAGAGGATACAAAGTGATATTATAAGTTGAACTGTCCGTGTGAATTATGTGTTCTCTAACCCACCAAACCACAGATGTGGGTGGGTGGAGCAGCATGTCATCATCAAGCAGAGGTGATGACAAGAACAGGCTCAAAACCATACTGAAGACATAAATTAACTCCATAACTGCTCATGTCCCTTGACACAAATCAATGGCCTTCTGGGTAGTTTTCAAAGACCAGTTTACTAAAAGTAATAAAATCGGAAGCTGATTAACAAATTGTTTCACAGTACTACTCAGCCATAAAAAATGAGAAACTAGAGACATTTATAGCTAAGTGGATGCACATTGAGGCCATACTCTTGAGTGAAATAAATAGGACACACATGTGTAAATACCAAATAGTTTCTCTGGTGTGAAAAACTAAAAGTGTAAATAAGGATGTATAATTAAAATGTATAATTGATATTGTGAAATAGGAAGGAAAGGTCTAAAGGAGTAGGGGAAATGGGAGGGGTAGGGAAAGAAAAGAAGGGAAAAAATACAAGAAAAAGAAAAAAATGGAAATAAAGTCTTTGTAAATAGGGAAGGATGGAGGGGGTAAAGGGAGGGCAGGGAAATGGGGAAAAAATAAGAACCAAGATACATCATGTAAAGGTACAAAAATCCCAATGATGAACATAACTGTACTGTATACCTCAAATGTACCAATAAAGTTAATGGGGATAAAAAAGAAAAAACAGTTTGGGGGGCTAATAAAAGGTGGATATACAGTTGAGATCCCAGCAGCATACTTCATAGACCTTGAGAAAACAATCCAAAAATTCATTTGGAACAAGAAGAGACCCAGAATAGCAAAAGCAATT